CAAACCCCTCCTATTAATAAATGATAAAACTGAGGCTCCAGATCCTCCTATTTGTGCTCTATTAATAGTATCATCATCTTTATATCTATGCATATAAATATAATTGTACAGACTTAGAATTTCTCCTTCTGTAAAATGAAGAATTTTTCTTATCCACTCTCCCTTTTTTTGTGTTTCTCCTATGTTTTTTTTTTTTTTGATGGGAGGAGAGTAAGGGAATGGGGACAAGAGTTCTGTTTTTTTTTAATTGTTGGGGAGGTACAGCCAAGCCCTTATTTATCAGATAGCATTTCCTTATCATTTGTTACTCTTAATTTTCATGTTAATAATTTTTTATTAATAAAATTGTACTTTTATTCTGAAAATGCAAAGTATATAAGCAAATGCTGTGGAAATGAGTCTAATATTCCTTAATCAACAGTAAAATATGGGTTTTAAATTGTGCCTTGAAGTTAAGGGAATTAAGACTTTCTGTGCATGTGGTCTTACCACTGAATGCATCCTAATGTAATCCTTAAGGTGAAATTTGGTAATTTTTATTATTAACTCCCTTTTGGCAGAATGTCACTCATAAGCTTTCTTCCTAAATAACAAAATGTACCAACTATTGGCAACTGTAAGACGAAGCTCAAATGCTATTTCTTTTATGAAACTTTTTGTTAACCTGTTATATACTAACAGACTCCATTGTCTCTTTCCTTATACCTCCTCACCAGTGGTATTACATTTATCATAGTATGTCTTTTGTAGGTGAGAGCAGGGGCTCTGTGTATGTGTGTATATGTATGTGTTTGTTTTAATCTCATAGTCATAATATTTAGTATAGTTCTGACAAGGTCAAGAGGATACCAGTAAATGTGTATTGGGAAAAAAACAAAAAGATTGGCTACCAAAATTCTCAGACTTTCTTACAAGTCCCAATGGTGAAGGTCTACAAGGTGTAGGTATGTGCTTATGTGTGTGTCTGTGTGTATAGTGTGAGTGTAATGATACAGGGAAGAAAGTATAGTGTGTTTGAGGTTTTTAAGTATTTCCTTTTATTCTACCATTTTATAGGTCAGGGTCCTAAATATGTAAAAATTTTTATCAACCTACCCCGATCTATGGATTTTGAAGAGGCAGAAAGAAGTGAACCAACTCAAGCTCTGGAACTGACAGAGGATGATATTAAAGAAGATGGCATTGTTCCACTTCGTTATGTTAAGTTTCAGAATGTTAACAGTGTAACTGTAAGTAGTATTTCATTCACATATATTTAACAGGTCTGTGGGTAACAATGCTATTTTCAGTATCTTAGGTGATTCTAACTAAATGTTTCTTTAAAATGGTATTTGTCCACTAAATTTGATATGAGTAAAAATGTATAATGGGCTAATTTAAATTTTCTTCTTTTTAATTTATCTGTGTACCCTAGAGAGGAAGGACAGGTTTATTTTTAAATATTTGTGGGTTTTTTAGTTTATTTTATTTACATATATTGCAACTTTTGTTAAGTTTATTCTAGAACATTTATAGTTAAACTGAAGATAAATATGTTTTATCCTTTAAACCTGGTGATGAGTGATGATACATTCGTAAAATCCAGTTTACTTTTCTAGAATATAGAGTTTTTAATAGTGTGGCAGTTATGGTCTCAGTAAAAATGACTTTTTATTTTATTTTATTTTTTTAGAGATGGGGTCTCACTATATTGCCCAAGTTGGACTTGGACTTCTGGGCTCAAGCGATCCTCCCCACTTAGCCTCCTGAATAACTGGGACTACAGGCATATACCACCATGCTCAGCTTAAAAATGGCTTCTTAAATAGATAGTTTTACATTTTATAAAATGACCTAAGATATATATGAATATTGAATAGTGCCTAAGATGATTTTAAGTGATATATTTTAAATGTTTCTTAAAAATGAAATATCACTAAAAGTTAGCTGCTTTTTAGCAGTTATTAGTTGCTTTGGAGTATTTTAATATTGAAACCCAGCATACACTTCTTTCCCCTGCCCCCAGTTGTTCAGAGGAGGAAGCTGGAGAGTTGGAAAAGAATAGCAAAGTTCCTTGAATAAGAAAGTAGGAACCAGCACACCATCAGTGAGAACAAGTGGTGCCAAACTGATATAATTTGTTTTAATGAAATGATTATATTTTTGTGAATTAGAAGAATGCTGTAGTATGTGTTCATTTTAGATGGTTTTTAATGGAGTTTTACAGAATATACTTCGTAGTAATATGAAGAATTATAATCAAGTTGCGTTTTAAGTATTTGAAATATTCTACCCAAATGAAATTGAAGAAAATGGTTATATTAAACTTAGAACACAGGTTATCAAATACTTTTCTGACCTTACTTATGTTTATAACATATACCCAATTAATAATACCTTATGTTTTACTCATTGATGGGAAGGAAGGTATTTGCTTATTGGAAAAAAAGCCCTTTTAACCTAGAGATCCTAATGTAATCTCTGTTACTGGGAATCACCAAAGATACTTTATCTTGTGATAGGCTCGAGTCTTTATGTATTAATACTGTGTCCTTTCTTTTTTTTTTTTTTTTTTGAGACAGAGTCTCACTGTGTTGCCTGGGCTAGAGTGCCGTGGTGTCATCCTAGCTCACAGCAACCTCAAACTCCTGGGCTCAGGTGATCCTACTGCCTCAGCCTCCCGAGTAGCTGGGACTACAGGCACGTGCCACCATGCCCGGCTGATTTTTTTCTATATATTTTTAGTTGTCCGATTAATTTCTTTCTATTTTTAGTAGAGACGGGGTCTCGCTCTTGCTCAGGCTGGTCTCAAACTCCTGAGCTCAAACAATCCACCCGCCTCGGCCTCCCAAAGTGTTAGGATTACAGGTGTGAGCCACCACGCCTGGCCCTGTGTCCTTTCTTAATCAAAAGTTTAGTCAGTGACACAGAAGGCATGCCTTTCACCTTTTTGGTTATAAAATTAGAATTAGAGTGACAGTTTTAATCAGAGTCTAATCAAAGCAAGTAGATGAATTTTAAGAGCCATGAATATAAACTGTTGTGCTTACATTCAAAGAGCAAATACAGGCTGGGTGTGGTGGCTCATGCCTGTAATCCTAGCACTCTGGGAGGCCGAGGCAGGAGGATCACTTGAGGTCAGGAGTTCGAGACCAGCCTAAGCAAGAGCGGGACCCCATCTCTACTAAAAATAGAAAGTTAGTGGGGCGTTGGGGTGCACACCTATAGTCCCAGCTACTCGGGAGGCTGAGGCAGGAGGATTGCTTGAGCCCAGGAGTTTGAGGTTGCTGTAAGCTAGGCTGACGCCACGGCACTCTGGCCCGAGCAACAGAGAAAGACGGGAGACTCTGTCTCAAAAAAAAAAAAACAAAACACAAATACATTCCAAATAAATTAACTGAGAGCTGGTTTTTAAATAGTCTATTTATTATAGACTTTTTAAATTGTTGATAATTTCAGTTTGAAATAAATTTATGGTTGCCTGTGAAAACAACAAAAATTGACCAGTGAGTACCATCTCAGAATGAAAGAAGTAATGTTGTTTAAATCAAGAAGGGCAGTGTTTTAGCTGGTCACAGTGGCATGTGCCTATGGCCTAAACTACTTAGAAGGCTTAAGTGGGAGTATTTGAGCCCAGGGGTTTGAGGCCAGTCTAGGCAACATAGCAATACCTCATCTCTTAGAGAGAGAGAGAGACAGAGAGAGAGAGAGAAAGAGGGGCAATGTTTTAAAGTAGACGACATCTAGAATATTGTATTTTTAGAAATGGAACGAATTTTAAAAATCCAATATATTGAAAAAGGATCTATGAGTAAAGCTTCTACCTCTTAACATGCTGAGTGGAGTTTCTAAATAGAAAATATAAAGAGTCAAGCTTAAAAAATATGGAAAGCATAGTGCATATAGTTTAGGAGCTGATTTCCAATACTATTTTTTCTCTTAATATTCTAGGAAATAGAATGGATGCATGTATATCAGAAAGAATATAACTGCAGAGATTTTCCTCAGTGAAAAACTATGATTTTTAATAAAATTTCCAACAGCAGTCTGTCCCATTGTAATCATGAAGCTCATACTCTTTCAGCATTCTCTGTAAAGAATTTAATTATGACTCCTTCATACCAGGCTAAATTATCATGAACTTGTAAAAATGGGTATCTTGCCATGACATCCCTGGAGAAGGTGAGAATAGCAGGGCAAACAGTAGAATTAAGTCTTATAGGAGTACTATTCTAAATGTTATATAATTTAGATTAATCCTTAGATGAATGGAAGGTATTTTTATTAATAATCTGAAGAAATTGATTAAAGCATGTTTATAAAAGAAGGATTGTGGTAATAAATGTAAAAAAATTTTTTTCGGTAGATATTTGTTCAGTCCAATCAAGGTGAAGAAGAAACAACAAGAATTTCATATTTTACTTTTATTGGTACTCCAGTCCAGGCAACAAATATGAATGACTTCAAACGAGTAAGTTTGTTTAAATGACATTTGGAGAAAGTAAAAGTATAATTTTGAAGGAATAATTTTACATATTTAAATAGTATAGTCATGCTTTTTAACCATAAAGATCAAAAATCCTATCATGTCATATAATTTTATAAGGTTAAACTAGAACAGTAAGTTCTCCGAATCACATTTTTAGATCTCTAACTAAAAGGAGCCTAATAAAAATGGTAAGTCTTAACTGATACAGTATCTTTTAATGAATGACATCTCAATAAGAGTAAAAATAACAATTTGGTTATAGAAAGTGGTTAGGAATAATGGAAAAGTAGGAGTAAGTTAAATCATTATTTAGAAGGAGTAGTGAGATTTTTAAGAACTTCTGATACTAAGATTTTATTTATCATTGTTTCTGATTAAAACATATTTTAAGTGACTTGAATAATTTTATTTAAAAAGAATTGACTAAGTTTTAATACATTGACATGTTAACCTTCTAAACCGTGTTTGTGTGCTGAAAGCACATTTCAGCAATAAGTTTACAGTGAACAGGCAGGTTTTCTCATATTTCTATACATCTTTGTTGGGGGGGCTATAATTTTTTTAAAGGACACTGCCCTAAGGTTTATAAAGAATTTGTAAGATACAGGAGACCTTTAGGAATGAGGACTGATCCCTTTCATACATTGCTGGAATAACTTCTAATTGGTAACAGTTCCCAAGGGTGGCTGTTAAATGTACAACTACATATTGTAGATGTGCCGCTTAGAGCTTTATCATACTGAGCCCCAGTTGCTATATATACAGTTCAAATGTGCGGCAGCACAGAAGATGTATATGTTTCCAATGATTGCATCTGGCAGGCAGTCTAGGACTTGAGGTAATTGTAAGAGAGAAAGTTTCCCTAGGGCTGCCAGTTACTGGAGGGAGAGGCTCCCAGCAGACCCCTCTTTGGGGAGTTGGAGATGTAGAACATTTTGAAAACTCTTATTCTTTTTAGTGGTATCTACAGGTCTGATTTTAATTTAATTACACAAAAATTCATTAAATTGCATAACAATGGATGATCTTATAAAATTGTATGCTGTGTTCACAAAACTGAATACCTTGGCAATAGATATTTTAACTGGTCATTTTCCAACTGCTGTCTTCCTGTCTCATAGCATAATTAAATTTTGGGAGCTGTAGGAATAATTATGTACTTAGAACCTGTCATGTCTAGATGTTTCACATATGTATAATGACAGGTCAGAAGAAGCAGAGATTGAACATCTACATTTTTATGTTACAAAATATGTTTTACTGCGAAAATGTGTGAGCAACAAAGACATTTTGGCTGCTTGCTTTGCTGCTTTGCCTACTTGAATTAGATGCCGTTGGACTTGGCTTGAACTATTCCTTGTGTAGTTCTTAGCTTAGGTCTTTCGTAAGATCTGTTACTGTAAGTCCTATTATTGCCTCATACCATTAATTTGGCTCTAGTTTCCTGTTTCTCACCTCGGTTATGCTATTGGATTTCCATTTTTCTATAAGTAACTACCTTTCTCTTGTCCATTTTCTTACCAGCCTGCCCCATTTAGTTATAGTTTTTCTAATTTGCAGTAATAATTGTACATCTAATTGTCTGTCTTCATGTCATTGTTTTTAACATCCTCTTCACACTCTTTCTGGGTCCTAGTCTTTATTCTTTTTTGACTGTCAAACTACCTTTTTTGAAGCTGTCTTTAGGATAGCAAAGGTGTTAGCCTTTTCTTGCTTGAGAGTATTTGTGTTTGTTTTATAACAGCTGTTTATTCATTTAACTTCTTTTTACCTTATTTAAATATAGAGCAGCAGTTCTCGAACTTTTTGGTCTCAGGACCCCTTTATACTACAAAATATGGTTGAGGACCAAAAAGAACTTTTGTTTATTTGGTATGTTATTTATCTAATACTTATTGTACAAAAAGTCAAAACTGGGAAATTTAAAAAATATTTATCTTCAAATAATGAACCCATTACATGTTAACATAAATAATATTTTAAAATGAGAAATAAGCATTTTTTCCAAAAGAAAAGACAATTTAAGAAGAGGAACATTGTTTTAAAATTCTATGCATTTCTTTACTGTCTAGCCTAACAGTCCTCTCATTCTCGTTTCTGCATTCAATCAGCTATGGTGTCACACCTCTGGAAAACTCTCCTGTACACTTGTGAGAGAATGAGAGTTAAAAAGGCAAATAACAATTTATCATTGTTATGAAAATAGCTTTGACCTCCCAGACTCCCTGAGAGAATAATTTGAATGCCATAATAGACTCCCTTGTTGGTGTTCTGGGCTTCTTATCTCTTTGCTTTTAGTGTTTGATAAATTTCAATTGGTTGAGTGACTTTCTTATGTATATTATGTTACATTTCCTTGGAATATTTCTGAATGAGATTTGTTAGGTAGTCATTCATTGTCTTGTAGGGTTATTCCTCAAAAGTAAGCTAGTATTTCATTGTTTTTATATTATGCAATCATCAACTTCGATAGTAAAAAAATTAGAGGGTTCATATTTAACTGAAAGTGGCCAGTTTAGTTCTTGTGTAGATAGAATTGCTTATTAAAAATTACAAATGAGTTTGGTTTTTTTTTTTTTTTCCTGCTATCTTCTTCCTTCATATGAGTTTGGTTTTTACTGAAGGAAATAATAGATGTGTGGGATGGTCTGGTTTTGTCCCTATAGTACTGTGCTGGTACAGTAATGCCTCCTTATCCACAGGGGATATGTTCCTAGACACCCAGTGGATGCCTGAAATAGTGTACAGTACCAAACCCTATGTATACTATGTTTTTTTCTGCATGGTCCCCAACTTACCGTTAGTTCTACTTGACAATTTTGCATAATCAATATGCAGCCAATGTAGAAACCATTCTTCTCTCATGATGCTGGGCAGTGACAGCAAGCTGCAGCTCCTAGTCAGTTACGCATTTTTGACTTAAGTGTTTTCAACTGATGATGAGTTTATCAAGATGTAGCCCTATCGTAAGTTGAGGATCATCTGTACATACTTGCCTCTAACAGAGTATAATTTATAAATTAGGCACAGTAAGAGATTAACAACAATAACTCACAATAAAATAGAAAAATTCTAACAATATACTGTAATAAAAGTTATGTGAATATGATGTTTCTTTCCCCTCCCTTCCTCCCACCCCAGAATATCTTATAGTACTGTACCACAGGTAACTGAAACTGTGCATAAGGAGGGACTAATGTACAATTACGTTCCCTGTCTATAGCAAGTTTATATTCTTCTAGGAAAGTTAATCAAAATTAATCAAAGTTTAATTAGTTCAAGGGTCTTTTCCTCCGTAAAATATTCTCAGACTTTCCCAGCCTGGTGACATTCCTTCTACCGAACAGTGACTGGGAAAGTCTGAGAATACTTTGTGGAGAAAGAGGGCCTTGAACTAAGTTTTGAGAGTAGAATTTGAACAAAGGAAAAGGCAGCGATGGGCACCCTAGATAGAATGGAAAGTGGGGACTTGGACATGAAAGTGGGAAGGTGCAGGTTTCGTTCAAGGACAAGTCACATGTGGTGCTTCTTTCCCTTTAACTCATTTGATCAGCCTACATTTAAAAGCGATTATACATAGTAAATAGAATTTAAAATTTCAGAAAATATTTGGCATGTATTTTATAGGCACAGGGAAGAAAAATTTGATAACCTCTTTGTATAGTGAAGAAAGCTCCAGAAAATGGTTTAATAAATGATAAAGTAGATTAAATGTTTAGCATTCTCAGTTTACATTTTATGTTGTGTGAGTTGTTTCTAGATAATTTTAGTTTTCAGACTGTTACTGACCATCTCCTTATGTCACTAAGATGACAGAAGCTAAGGTAATGCTGTTGAATTTTGGGTGTGGATAGAAATCTTAGACCACCTTGCATGCTATTACAGCTTTACACAGTTGTACTTTTAAGATTTGATAGGCTAGAATACACCTTCCACTTGTCTGTTTGGCTCTTATAGGCATCATGCACAGATTTTAATATATAATTTGGCTGTTTGTTGTTTTAAAGGGATTCTTTGTGTTGCAGCATGAAAAGCTTGCCATCTTAATTGGAAGAAGATGTTTTCTTTGCTAAAACATCCTCTTTATGTGGATTGCTTTATTTTAATACAAAAGTATTAAAATATAAGCATATAAAAATGAGAAGATTGTTGGGGCTTCTGCTTCTTAGGGAATGAGGCGCATGTGAAAAGCAGAGCAGATTTTTATCACTATAATAAAAATAGACTTTTCTAAACTGGCCATTCACCGTATCAGCTATTTTTGTAACATTTCTGTCTGTTTATTTTTCAGCTTTTTTAATCCAACTCAAATGAACTAAAAACAGAAGATACTTTAAAATGAAGTAATATAAAGATTGACATTGTCTCACTCTACTCCCCTCCTTGCTTCTCTGCTCATCTAGCACCTGTCTGCTCTCACCCTTCCCATGTTCTCGCCATTGCTGGTGCAAGATTTCTACAGCTTCTATCGTCTGGATCAGCCTTCTTGTTACTTAGATTTCCTCAACCATCTCTTTCTTCAAATCTCATCCTAGTCATGTTTCTCAATTGGCCTTTTGTTTTGTTTTGGTTTTTGTTTTGGGCTTGCAACTAGGTGCTTTAATTCATTACCATACCGTGTTGCTCATCAGACCTTCTGTTATTTTTTTTTACTTTACACTGTTTGATATTTAATTTTGTACTACATTTTGAGAAGTAATATTGCAGTAAAACTTAAATTGTTATAAATGCTTTCAGATCTAACTAGTCGTCGAATAATGTTTTAATCCATTCTAAAGTTTAAATTTTATTTTTTAGGAACTATAGAAACATTTTGGGAATTAAATATGACAGTTTCATCAAGTTCGTAAATTAGTGCTAGTATAATATATTGATTAGTTTTAGTTGAAGGGTGTGGGTTTTCTTTTCCTATGGGAGCATTAGCCCCAAAGTCTTTTTGAAGATTGATTGTGGGCGTGTCCTCTGCTCCTACCTACCCAAGTGAGCTCAAGGCCAGTTAAAGGACTTATGGACTGAATGTTAGGCTTGGTTAAAATATTAACATAGACGATCCATGGACTCTTTCCTGAATAAATATCTTGGACACCTAATTTTGATGTACCTAGACTTTTGTTTGTCTGAGGTGTAATATAAAGACTTCAGAATGAATAAAAGAGTTTTATGTTTGGGGTGAGAATCCATATTGGAATGTTGAATTTCTTCTTTTTTACAGAAAATACACATTGGCAAGTTGAGAGTTATCAACCTGTGAAACAGTATGCAGATTTGTGTCTTCTGTATCACATCTGCTAAAATTTTAATTTTTAATATTGTTTTTTTCTTTTGCTTAATCTAATAGCTTTGTGTTTTGCATTTCCCAAGTAATACAGTGATCAGTAATGCTCTCAGTGTTTATTAGCTTAAATCCATTTGTGATTAAAAAAAAAATAGTGCCCCCTCCCCTTCTTTCTAGTGGCTCTTAAAACCTGAATTTCCCTATTTTAATCCATGTTCTCTTTTATGAAACTATCTTTTTATCATCTCTCTGGCTTTTTGGGCTTTCTGACATGGTTTCTTTGAACCAGAGGGAAGTTCCTTTAAAGTAATAAAGTGGTTTTTCCTTAGGCTGAGGAAAAAAGCGTTTCTAGCATTGTGTGATGGGGAATTCAGCATAAAGAGTTTTTAAATCTTCTCGTTAAATGACGTTGACCCAGCTATGTTATATTTTAGACCAGATATGTACTGATGACATTTATAACCTTTGCTTGGTATAGATAGTGCTATTTAGAACAGAATCAATTTAAAATGTGAAAATTACACTTATAAATTTATATAGAAATCTTTCTATACAGATATTCAATATCTTGCAAGTAGATTTCTTTAGAGGCATTTCTGCTATGAGAATATATTATCTAATGATAAACTTCAGGTATGAAGTAAATTACTCAATTAGAACATAGTTTTAGAACCCTCCCATAGAGAATTTGTTTTCTAGAATTGTTGATGGAAAACAGTTTATTCTTTACGTTTGTATGCTGCCACATATATAGCAACCAGGACATTTAAAAAACCCTCCAAAAGAGGATTTTCTAATTATTGACAGAAATAAGATTTATTCTTTACCTTTTTTATAGTATGTTTATAGCAACCAGAGTTTTTATTAAAAAAAGAAACCAGGAAAAATTAGTCATTTTTACTGTTTTCACTGCATGTCTACATATTGAGGAAAAAGTCTAGAAGCCTGCTATTTTGGGCATGAAGACATATGTTTAGCATACCCTTCTAATTCCAGATTATTTTGTGATCGACATTTGATTTCTAATTGCCTAAAAATCGTATGCCGAATATGTTTTACTCATATAGATTCATCTTTCTTATTAACTTCTTTAAACTGTCAACCTGGTTTTGAAAAATTGCATTTCTTTTTCTTAAAACAATATGGAAACCCAAAAATAGCCTGCATGTGTTTTATTTTTAATTTCTTGTGTCTGAGAGGGGACAGGAACTGGGAGTCACAGTTTGCTTCAACAATGAAAATACACTGCATGCCAAAAAAGTTTCAAGGATAAAAATTAATACTAGGTTTTTAAACTGATTACCATATTAGAATTTTTAAAAATAACCTATATTTTTAAATCAATAAGATGTACATATAAAGTTATTTTTGTTTTTCTAGGTAGTTGGCAAAAAAGGAGAAAGCCACTAAGGTACAAAAGACACTGGAAGACTGTATTGCAATCAGATCTACAGCTCCTGGATAATTGCTTGATTCTCGCCAGAGACTGTCAATGTTTCATTCATTGCCATTACCAATAAATCATTGCTTTTGTTCAGATGGTATCACTAGTGTTTCTATTGTAATCTTGATACATGGAATTGTAAATAAAAGTCATTACTTTTGCCAAGCTTAATTTTTGTCATTCTAAATAAGAATTTTTTCTTAACATTTATTTGAAAATTGGCCAGCTACTGATTTTAGAAGAGACTTAAGTGACTGGTAACATAATGATTGAAAGCCAGTTTCTCTTTTTGAAGTGCAAAACTATTTTAGGGAGTTACGGAATGCATGCGTGCACACACACAGCAAGTGATTTTGATTAATGGACTTGGAACAGCTAACGATGTTTAAATGAGTACTGACTCGTATGTTTATCAAAGGACATTTGAATATCTGAGCTATAGAAATCAAATTATAAACTACCAGAAATAAACAGATATAATGAGATTTAACTACTCCTACCTAAAACTTAATGGGTTCATAGATTTTTTTCCTCAAGATTTTAATCTCTACTGGATGAACTTTAAAATTTAAGTCAGCCATTTTCTTTACTAATAGAAGAATGTGGAAATCAGATAGCTGGGAAGAATACAGCATAATAAGTTCATAAAACAATAGGAATTATTGTCTTTAATCAAGTATTTATTATCTGAACTACCAAAACATGTAAATATATGGAGAACATGATTTAAAGTTGAAAATGAGTTGGCCAAATGTGTATGTTTAAAAGGTCTTTCACAAAAGGCCGGTAAAAGAAAACATCTTTCTTACTTTTTTTGATCTTAAAAATATAATCTAGAAAGTATTGGTAGATTTTAATTCTGAGTATTTTTAAAATTCAGTATTTTAAAAGAGCACTTAAGACTGTAAACTTGTGATTCAGTTAACCCATTTGAGGGCCTTCTTGTCTAGGAATATAGTAGAGATACCATTTGTCTTTGAGAGACCAATGTATTTATACATGTCTGTGAAAAAATTATGCAGAAGTTTTAGTGTTGAAATTGTCACTTTCTGAAACCCAAATGTCATTAGATAATGTTTAGTTTATTTGTATGTGAGCACATTAACTGGTCTGTGGTGGTGTCTTTATCTTATGTATTTCACAGTTGTGTTGCCTTGGATCAAGTGGAGGCAGAAGGGCGAAAAATAAAAGTTTATAACACTCCTTATATAGACCATCTCAGATTAATCATGTCTGAAATTAAGGATAAGATTAATATCAAGGATTTTTTTTTTTTTATTTTACACTTTTGTACACTTAACCTTTTCGGGTAATTGTTAAAGTGCCTCATCTCGAGTATTACTGACCTCATCCTATTTATACTTGACAGTTTGGAAACCCAGTGAAAGTAATTTCATATTTGTAAAGGATTGGGCATCAGATTTATATTGTTTATGTGACTTTTCTATAACTCACTTGGTTTGCAATATACAAACATTCCATAATTATTCAAATTGTAAATAGTGAAAAATTAATGTTTATAGGTAACTGTAACATGTTTCCCTTATGGGAAGTTTTACTATTATAAATAAATATGCATAATTGACATTATTTAAAATATCAAGCTGAAATGCTGATGTTTTCTCCTGAAACAATATGTATATATGTATATATAGATATACATATATAACATTTATATATAACATTGAATTTTTAAGATGAATAAGATCATTTGAAAAAATGTAATCCTAGGGTTTTTTTTTGGTTTTGGGGGGGAGGAGGGCAGAGTCTTGTTCTCTCCCCCTGGGTAGAGTGCAGTGGTGGCATCATAGCTCACAGCAACCTCAAACTCCTGGTCTCAAGTGATCCTCCTGCTTCAGCCTCCTGAGTAGCTGGGACTACAGGCATGTGCTACCACACCCAGCTAATTTTTCTATTTTTAGCAGGGTCTCACTTTTGATCAGGCTGGTCTGGAACTCTTGAACTCAAGCAATCCTCCCGGCTGGGCCTGCCAGAGTGCTAGGATTACAGGCATGAGCCACTGCACCCAGCCAAATCCTGGTTATTTTAACTGAAGCCATCCATTAGATAGTACTTTTTAGAAAACTAGTATTAGGTTTATTGTTCGTTTTGTCATAAGTAGCCAAAAAAGAATCTTTTCCATGATTTGCATATTTCCTTGAATTTCACATCAGGATGCATATCTGATGAGAAACCACAAATACCCTATTCATAGTAGAAACAATATTGTTTACTAAACAATGGTACAAAGTCTGTCAGCTTAAGGCTGAGGGCAAGAGTAGCACAGGATACCACACTGTTGTGCCCAAGGTAGGTCTTTATAATCCATTTGAGCCCTCTTTGCCATGAAGCCCCAAATTGTCCCCAGTCTCAGTCTTGTGTTGGAGGCAGCACTTAATTTATTAGCATTTAAACATGTCTGCCATCCTCGTCTCAGTGTTTGAGGTTACGTATAATGTGTTTTGCAGTGTTCATAAGTATACCGTTAATGTATATTTCGCCTTAACATTTTGTTTACGGCTGCCATTAATACAAGGTCTGTCCGGAAAGTCTCCAGCCATGTAATGTGAAAAACAGACATTTATTGAAGAAGATACAAGAAGCGTACACAGGACAATGACACCTTAGTCCCCTTCAAAGTAGGCACCTTGGGACCTCACACAATTCTCCTTCACACATAGTCTTTTAAGCCGTACATGTTCACCATTCTCAGGTTTTGTGTTTGTTGCAGGCCTTCCAGAACATGGATCATTTTCAACAGATTCTCAACCGTCTTCGAAGCATTTGTGCCACGCTTTTATTTGCTCTGCACTCATTGCATCGTCCCCGAAAGCCTTCTGAATCATCCAGATAGTTTCCGCGGAGGAATGTTCATGCTTAAAATTTAATGCAGATTCATCGCTCTTCTTGTATTCAAAATGCTTAGTCATTTTGAATACAGTGCCCACACAACGGCATGCTCACTCAACGGCATCTAGCACCCCGCTGGCTAGTACGGTGAAGTCATTGTTCACGCATGCGCATCCTCGTCCACTGTCCTTGGCCGCCAGGTTACGTCGATGTCGGGCAAACCATTTTCCTTATATTGACAACCGCTGGACACTTTCCGACAGACCTCGTATATCTGATATGGGGGGCTTTTTTTTTTTAACCTAAAACAGTTCAGACCTTCCCTTGTCCCTCTTGACGTCTAAAACCTTTACTCCTGTAATAAGAATAAAATATTGGAGTTGAGTAAATTAGTTACACCCTCTTCTTTGTAAACTTTAAAAAATGAAAGAAATTTAGGGCTTATTCATGTTTGTATTGCTATTTATATAGTTAATTTGGTAGGTTAATTTTTGTGTAGGTATATTTCTCTTCTGGAATTGATCATTTCTGATCTTAGATACTTTATTTTTTTTTAAGAAAAGTAACTTAGAAATCCATTCGCTGAACTGCTAAAGAAAAACCTTAATGGAATATTGTGTTCATTGAGCTTCAACACTTACTTCACTGTTAGAGATGTTGTGCATTTTACAAAGTTTTCCAAACATAGTGTGTATGCTTTATAATATAGCAAGTTTGGTAGATAAATACATTTTAAAATATTGACTGTTTATATGCCCAGCACTATTAAGTGGACAATGGAGATTTTTATAGGCTAATAAGATCATTTGCAAACTTTGTGGCCCATGCAAAATTATTAATTGGAGAATGTGTAACTAGATAACTTTATAACATAACTAGATACCTTTAGAATTTGGATAGAATACTACAATTGTGCACAGCTTGGAATAATATTAAAATCTTAGGATACGTAACCTTAAAACCTCTAGAGTATTTCCCCTTGCTATGCTTCTCTTGGGAAGAGGAATTTTATGTAGAAATTAATTCTGATAAGTTGAACAGGCCAAAATTAGTTGTGAAAACAATATTGACTCATTATGCTGTTTAGGAGCAAGATCTCTGAAGTGTGAATCCCTGCTTCTCCACTTGTTAGCTGTGTCATCTCAAACAAGTAATATCCTCTGGAGCTTGAATTTCCTTGTGTGTAAAAATAGGAACATCTATCTCTTAGACTTGTTCTGAAGATCAAATGTGCCTTATTTTGTATCTGGAACAAGGATAAGTAGTTATCTTCTGTACCCTGCTCTCTCATCTCACTGCCACTGCTTTTTAGACCATCATTTCTTGCTCAGTGTACTGTAGTAGCCTAATTGTCTCCTGGCTTCTGTTCTGCCCTCTCATGTATCCTCCACGTGGCTGCTAGTTATCTTTCCTGTATGAGATCTTCATAACATAATCCCTGCCTCTCCAGCCTCCCCCTGCTCATTTCCTCCACATGCTGCACTGTATTAGCGATGACTAGAATATACCCTTATATCTTATGCCTTCTTCTGACCTAACTTGTCCATCTCACAAATTCCTACTTATCTACAAGGCTCAGTCCAAGCAAAACTGACAGAGGGAACACTCATAACATTGTGTATGTCTCCTCGGCTGCCGTAACACCATGTGGTTATTTCATGCTGATATTTTATCAAACTGCTTGTAATTATTTGTAGCCTTATTTGCCCTACTAGATTGTGAGCTCTAATACGTGGATTTTGTCTCTAGTACCAAACCAGTTTCTTTGATTTCTGTCATCAGCAAATATAATGTTGAACAAATTCTCAGGATCCAAGAGGAGATGTTTGAGGTGAGTCTGTGAGATTAAGAATTTATAGTTCAGCAAGGTAAGGTAGAGAATTTAGCTGACGTAATGGAACAGTGCATGGTGTATTCATAGAATGACCGGAATTAAATATAAGAGATTTCCTAGTGAGGCAAGGGAGGAGTTGAAGCTCCTCTTGCCATCTGAAAGATCAGAATTTATTTATCCTTAATTTATGGGAGGACGCAGTATGGTAGAGGAGTCCCTAATGACTCGTACATTTCTCACTTTTACAATTGGATGGAGAAATGGTTCTTAGGAGAAGCAGCAAGTTCAGAGGGGAAGATGAATATGGTTTTGGATACATTGCCCTGAGCAATGTATCTTAAATGTGGTTTTAGCATTCAGGTGGCGATGTCTAGCAGGTACACAGGCAGGAATAATTTTAGAGCTTAGGGCTAGAAACGGGGAACTAGGAGTTATTTAGATGAAAGCTGAAATAGGTGTATGGATGGGAACTTACAGAGGGAATATG